GAAAGAGGAGGACGTCCCTCTATTGGCTGGCCACACAGGGCTGTGCCCTAGCTGGTCCTTTTGGGATCAGAAGGTGTGTTCAGGCTGGGTGGGAGAGACTCCTCCCTCCAACTGCTGCCACCTCCTGCTGCTGGGCAGGCATCCAATGGCCTTGACCTGCTTTATGCCCTCTCTGGCATCCTGGCAAGACCATTCACCCAAGCCAGTGGAGTGAGTCCCTGCAGCTGGGATCTAGCTGGCAGGCAGGGGGCAGGTCTGGCTAACAATGTGGCTGAATGTGCAGGAGAAAGGCGTGGGGAGGCTCTGGGAGTTAGAACAGGCAAGGGACCAGGCAGAGCCCCTAGCAGACAGGCATAGGTCATGATAGACTAAAGGAAAGGGGCAGAGTCTGGACTGGAGCCAGCCCAAACAAAGGCCTTGAAGGGAGAATGCTAGCTTTCTCAATGGCTTTAGGCTCATCTCCCACTGGAGGGGGTGCTCTGCACTGTACAGAGCAGGGGGGGTGGGCTGTGTTTAGCTTTCTGGAGTGAGATTGATGCTGGATCACTAATGAATCCCCTTGCACAGGCAGCCCCATCCCTGAATGCTTATGGAGAATGAGCCGACCTGCCTGTACATTGCAGGCTAGTGGTATGGGAGGAGACATAGAGTGAGCCTGGCCCTCCCCTCCCCAGCAAACACCAGCACTGTGCCTCTGGGGTAGGCAGGGACAGGGCCAGACAGGAAGGTGGTAACAGGCAGTTCTCAGCCTTGTCTCCCTCCCAGAGTGACCTGACAAAGGACATCACTACATCTGTGCTCTTTGTGAACAACAAGGCCCACATGGTGACCCTGGACTATACCGTGCAAGTTCCAGCCCAGGAAATGGAGGGAAGCCCAGAACTGAGGTGGGTAGGCATGCATAACCAGGTGATACATGCCTGTGGAGTGGGAGCAGGGGTAGATATTAGTATACCTCCCCAGGCATGTCCCACTATGCCCAGTGCAGACTCTTGTTTCCTGAAACAAACATGAAGAAATGCACAGATCGTTGGCAGCTCATCTGCATCCCTGTGACCAGACTACTCTTGCTCGCAAGGGGCCCTGGAAATCAGGCGGGTGCAGAGGCCAGCCCTAGTCTCCTGACAGTGCCTCACTGCTGGCTCTCTGCTCCTGCATTCTAGCAAGTTCCGGCTTTCCTACTACCCTCACTGCCTGGAGGCCTTTTCGGAGCTGCTGAAGAATGCCTTCCAGGGGAGATGCCAGCACAGCATCCTGGGTGACTTCAAGCCTTACACACCTGGCCAGGAGTACATCCCCTGCTACTTCATCCATGTAGTGAAGAAGACCGGCTGACAGCCACTGCCCAGGGCTCCCTGGCTGGCTACCACTGCCCATACCAGTTGACCGGCATGGAGGATGAGAAGGGACCCTTCTCTATCTTCTGGTCTCTGAGCAGCCAGCCAGGGCTCTGCTTTGGTGGTGGAAAAGCTTGGCCACATGGGGGAGATCCCAGGGGCCGTGTCTGTCATGAGCAGGCTCTGACGGCGCACTGCTACTGCTCCCTCTCTGCTGCTTGCATTCGTCACTCACTGGCCATGCTGGGCAGACACTTGCCCAAGTCTCAGGGCTGCCAAGGGTTCTCAAGAAAGTGCTGAAGGGGAATAGTAACAATGCTCATGGAAGTTGCATATAGTTCTGTGTGTCTGTCCTTGGGCAAGCAGGGGTGGGGGGAAGTTAGGGCAGGGGCCATGAACTGACCAGGGTGGGGGGGAAGCCTGGAGGCCATGGCGGCTAGCAGGGCTGGGGACTGCCTTGTGAGTGGAGCTTCTGGAGTCTGAGACTGGGTCCTGGCCTGTGCATCATTGGGGTGTCAGTTGCCCTGTGGCTTTTCCCACGATGCCTTCCTGTAACAGGGGTTAAGGGCAGGCAGTGTGGTATTTCCACATGGACCAGGAGTGAGGCACTGAACTGCTGGCCAAGGCATGCAGGGAGTGGCAGAGCAGGATGCTGCTGCCTTGGGGCCTCTGGTTGCACAGACAAGTGCCTAATCCTCCATCAGCCTGCATTTTAGTGCTGTGGGCACAGGGGCTAGGAGGGGATAGCCTGGAGCTGCATCAGCAGCAGGGGCTTGGCTCCCCGCCTCTACTCCTTACCCCACAGAGCATGTTAACTGCACAGCTCCATCCCAGGGGCAGAGGGAGCAAGGCTGCCTGGGTCTATGCAGGGTTCAGCTGCAAGCTCCTCCTAGTTGCCAGGTAGCCCTTCACACAGTAGGTGGCCCCTGACTCAGCTGGAAGATACTCCAAGGGGTGGTAGTGGGGCCAGGGTGTACCTTCCCCCTTCAGCACGGGGAGGGCCTGCTCCAAGGCTTATAGAGCACACATGCCTGCCCATCACCTAGAATTGCATAGCTGAGGCCCATGACCCCTGCCACAGCCACCCATGAGATGGGCACTTAACCAAAATGTGTGGGCAAGGTGGCAGCAGCCATGAATGCCACATGCCCCTGGAGGCTGTGGGGGCACAGCAAGCTCCCACAGGCTGTCAGTGCTGGGGGTGGCGAGCTGCAACTAGTGGCCGGTGACCACCTGCAGATGCCGCCAGCAGCAATCACGGACCACCCACAGACGTGACTGGCAGTGTCGGGGGTGGGTGGGGGTGTTTGCAAGCAGCAACTGCCCACAGGCACCACTGGCAATGTCGGTAGCACCTTTTTGCATTGCCAATGGCAGCAACACCTGCTCTGGACCAGGTTGTTTGACCATACAGAACCAGCAGTGCAGGCTGGAGCTCAGTGTGGCTAAGGGGCAGAGAGCAGGTGGGGGACATGGAGGAGCACAAAGCAGGCCTAACAGGTCCCATGACAGTGGTGGCAGCAGCAGCAGCAGCTCAGTCAGAGGCAGTGGGGTCAAGGGCATCAGGAAAATCAGGTAGAAGGTAGGACTAGGTCTCCTGGCAGCATTCAAACCCAGCCTGCTCCTGCTGGAAGCCCCAGTGCAGACAGGGGAATCATATGCTAACTGGACTCCTTAGCTCACTCCCCTGCAATGCCCAGGGCAGCTCAGTCCTGAAAGCAAGCATGAACAGTCTGGAGCTTGGAGAAAGACCTGTTTTGTGGTAAGCATGGGGCTAAGGATCTCACCCAGTATAGAGAGAAGGCACTAGAGGAGCAGTAGAGACACCAGCCAAGGTCAGGTCTGAGCTGCTCAAGCTCAGTGTCTGTTGCAGGGAACATCAGCAAAGATGAATGTCTCACTGTAGTTCCATGGGTCTGTGGGGATGGAGAAGATTCCCTCAGGAGCTGGAGGGAAAGGAGGCAGAAGAGGTGGGCTGGGCAGGATTTTAAGGGCAGTGGTGAAGATGATGGCAGCTGCAGGGGTGTGAGGAGCTAGCTGGGCAGTGGTGAAGATGATGGCAGCTGCAGGGGGGTGAGGAGCTAGCCCTACTCTCTCTCTCTCACACACACACAGCTCAGTGAACCCATTGTGTCCCCAGGAGAGGTACACTGGCCTACCTCACTGGGGGCAGGGGGAACAAGAGCACTGCAAGTCCTCAGGCCTAGCTTGGTTCTGCTGCAAAGACCCATGCCCAGTGCTGATGGAGCTGAGTTCTCATAAGCCTCTGACCTTACCCAAAGGGGATTTTATCCCCTAGAAGAGAGGATGGGGGCTTCTACCCAGATCCCTCACCAATGTCCTAGGACTCTGCAGCAGGCACCAACAGAAGTGTAACTGGCTCCTGCCTGTTCCTGGGCTGCTCTTCCTTGCTGGAGAGCTATGAGAGACTGGGGCAACCACTGGCTCAGAGACACTGCCCCCTCCCTGTTTTGGGGAGCTTGACACAGAGACCAGCTAAGACCACTCTTGGCATTCCTTCTACAATGCTGAATAAAAGGGGGAGTGAGAAAGGAGAGGGAAGGCACCTGGGGGCCACCAAATCTTATGCAGGCAGGAATTCCAGCCTGACTAGCACTGTGTCAACCAACCTGGAACCCTTCCCAAAATTGTGGGCTAATGAAGCTGGTTTCCAGAGGCTTCCTGTGAATTTCTGCGTGTCTATTTTTCTCCTACCTTGCCCAATAAGCTGGCTACATTATGTATTCAGATATTTGCACTGCCTTAGCTGGGTTTTGTGGGTTTCAGGCCCTCTGGAGCATACCGCAATGTGTTTTGGCTCCTCCTGGCTGAGAATGTAGCTGAGTCCGGTTATGCCAGTGGGTGAATACAGTACTCTCAAAACCACTTTCAGCTTTGACTATGCTGGATATTTGCAGCAAGGCCTATCTCACTGAAACCCTCAACACCACACCTCACCCTGAAGAACTTCACAGAACAGGGGCAAATGGATGGCATCTCATGGAGCAGGGCCAAGCTGGTGAGGAGTCAAAACCAACAGCACAGAATACAAGCGTCTCCTCCCCTGCATAGTCCCCAGCTGTGCTGCTCGTGGTTTGGGGCATCTGCTGCTTCCCTGGCAACAACAGGCAGTTGCCCAAGTACTGATTCAGGTCCCATCACTGATTCTGGTCATGACCTAACTAGCCTAGGTAGCCACACTCCCAAGGACTCTCTTGAGCTTTGGTGTGTGCATGCACACACATACAGCTCAATCAGAGGCTAGTGATGGCCATTCTCCTCCCTCCCCAAACACCCTGCAGAACTGCCCATGCCTAGATCAGACTATTGGGAGGCAGAAATAGGCAATGAAATAACCCCCTAAGGAGCAGACAACCAAGCCTGTACCTCAGATTCTTGACAAAGCTAGCTGGCTTAGCAGGATCTTGTGGCCCTGTGCAGAGGTGAGGCCATGAGACAGTACAGAGAACCGCCCTGGTAGAGAACTGGAGCAGGTCATTTTTATTTACACAGCACTTGTACAGTCTGTACATCCACTGCAGCACAATTCTCCCTGCCTGGCTCAGACACGATATAGATGGTGCCCTCCTCACAGCGCAGGCCCTTCAGATAGGAGATCTTTTAGGCAGCCATGCACCTAAATACCAGCCAAGCCCCTGGAATGGGTAAGCATTGCACCTTTCTTCTCACATGCCCACAGCTGTAGAGGCTCGGTCTTGAGGAGTAATACTCCTCTCTAGATGGTGGGCTTGGGAAACAGTAAGGGTCAAAGCCTCAACAAACACCCACACATGCCCACTGGTACTGTCCCACCCCCTTCCCAGGCATTCAGCTGTGACATCACTCCTTGCTGTGCCCTAGATGCAAGGGCAGCCCTGGCACTCTCCATAACATCCTGACCAGTGCAGAGTCTCCCAGGAGCTGGAGTAGCATTTCTTTCCAGAGTGATCCACAGATAAATTCAAGGCCTGCCTCTCACCACCAGCCTCAAAGGTACAGAGTGGGCTGTGGAATACATCAGACAAACACACAGGTAGGAGGGTGCCTGCAAAGATTTACAAGGCTGAGCAGGGAAAGGCTGGAAGCAGAAAGCAGGTTAAGAGCCAAGATGCTCCCACCCCCTCACAATACTGGCAGCAGCCTCAGCTCCATGGCAAAAATCCTACCCCATTAACCTGGCTGGGTGCCATACTTGGTCATGGATCAACAGACTACAACTCCCCTGCTTCTAAGGGTTCTGTCCTGGGTCTGGGTGGTCTCCCAGACCCTGCTGCATTAATGCCAGCCACGTGGTCCCACATGCTCCATGCCTTCCTGTCCTGTTAGATGCTAGCAGGCCGCAAACTTCTGCTGGATCAGCTTGTATCTAAGCAGCTCCTGGTCAGAAACAGATGGCTGCAGCCCAGCAACAGCTTGCAGGAAGTCCTCCATGGTCAGGACAAGATCAGAGCTCTCTGTGTCTAGCCCTGCAAAGCAGAGCACACGGTCATCCCCAGTCTCTGGTGCAGAGTGCACACGTACACTTGCAGAGCGCAGTTGAACAAGCCCCAACAGGGACTCTGGTTTAATTATGCCATCAAACTGTTAAAGAGCACTGGGAGGCGCTCCTTCCCCTTGGGCCAAGTACTCTCTTTCAACTGGTTCCAACCCCTGCAGCTTGCAGCCAGTCAATTGTCCCCTCCTCCTCCTAGCCCACATGGGTGTAGCCTTTAACAAATTATTCCATGTTCAAAATCTTTCCTGTGTAAAAGAGGCTGCTGCAGTCTGAGCAATTCAGAACCTGCTTCCCAGGAAGGCAGAGGTCCTTGAACTTCATCCAGGCATAAGGGCTGGGCCCTCCGAGCAGCCCCCCCCCACCCTGCAGGATGACTGCAGCTTGCAATGCAGGGGGTAGTATTTAAGCCCCAGGCTCAAGGATCACAAAATGAGGTGGGAATTAATTTTAAGGATATTCCTACAGCCAGGGCTGTGGAGAAAGGCTTAGAGCTGCAACTCATGTACCCCAAGAACTCAAAGAGCAGGAGGCAAAAGAGACGAATCCTAGACAAGTCCCGATTTTAGGAGCCCGAGCAGGTTGGCCATAGTGCAGACACCAACTCACTTATGCAAATTGCTGCCAACCCCAGGCCCTGGGCATGCCCTTCTTGCAGCAGATCCCATGCACTTCAGCTTCCAGAAGAAGGAAGGTACAGCTGGACAGAGACTGAGAACAAGGAAGGGTGACTGGTGACATCAGAAGCAGCACAGACCTTCATGGACACCTCATTTCCTGTGCCTCCCACTGTAGTGACAAGGGGAGAACGTGTCCCCTCGGATATCTTGTTGGCCAGGTC